TCAACTCTTTTCAGTATCAAATTCCTTGATAAATACTGAGATGGACAATGAGCACTGGTCCATGTCAACACTTTTCTGTACCATTCTGCCAGTTCTAGCAAATTATTAACTGTTAATATGTCTTATAGAAATACCAGACTGTGAGAACTAGTCTTATTAATGGGACTTAAATACCCACTCCTTGAGGCTTATGTTTGATCGTAGAATCATAGAATCATTTAGGTTGGAAAAGATCTTTAAGATCATCAAGTCCAACCATTACCCCAGGACTGAGAAGTCCACCACTAAACCAAATCCCTGAGGGCCTCATCTACAAGGTTTTTGAACTCTTCCAGGGATGGTGATTCCACCACTGCCCTGGGCAGCCTGTTCCAATGGCTGATCACCCTCGTGTTGAAGAAATTTTTCCTGCTATCCAGTCTAAACCCCCCCCGGTGCAGTTTAAGGCTGTTACCTCTTGTCCTATTGCTTGTTACATGGGAGATCAGCTACCTCCTCTCTCCATCCTCCTTTCAGGTAGAGAGCGATTAGGTCCCCCATAAGCCTTCTCCTCTCCAGACTAAACAACTCCAGTTTCCCCAGCCATGATGGGATTTTTTGTCACCAAGCTTCGCTGTATAAGCATTTCATGGCCAACAGAGCCTATAGTTGTAGCACTGTGATACCTCTGATTGATTGACAGTGTAAAGTGAAAAGCAAGGTGAGGTAGGTACATGGGGTGAAAAAGAACGCTTATTAAACTGAGGCAGCTGGCAAAAATAGACAAGCTTTCCTGAAAGTTTGAAATAAAAGTGTGAGTCTACATTTTACTACATTCAAGTGTCTGAAGTAGGATCTCATTCAGTGCCTTGTGAAGGGGTCCTTCTTTCACCCACTTGCAGTTGGAGGGGGGAGTCAGACAACAGACCAAACTGAACACCTAACAGAAGTGACACTCACTCCTGGCCACAAGTTGTGAGAGAAGTGTGTAGAACAGCACCTGCCCCACTACTTACATGAAATTCTAGTTGCTTCCATAGGCCTTGCCTATTTCTGGACCAGATAAAACTTTTTGTGTAGAAGAGAAAGGGAGACAAGTCGAGCCAAACATTTTGCATTGATGAGTGCAGCGTGTCTTTGCTGGAGGATGATTCAGAGCAGGATACTTAATTCCTCTGAATTGCTTCTACAGAAGACATTTTCTTTTTGTTGCAGTAAGCTTAGGAAAGTTATGTCACCAGGCTAAAATTAGCCTTTATTAATTCTCCCCTCAGTTGTAAACACCTGCAAGAAGAAAGCACCTCATTTTTTAATGCATAACTGCTGGTTCAATATACAGCTCTAATTTTCATGAGCACTGTGTAATAACAAACAACACTGGTAGAATGTCTGGTGTTTGGCCTTGTTCCATTTGCATTTTTATTTTTTAAAAAAGTAACAAAACACATGTATTTTTCCATGTATTTATAAAAGAGCGTTAATACAGCTTAACAGCAGTAGTTTTATCTCTGCAGGTGGGGGAACGATCACACCCTATAAAAATATGGACTTGAACTTTGGGTTCCGCCAAAAATGAGTGTGTGGTCTGAGGTCCTAGAGCTGCAGGGATGTTCTGAACTTTTCAGTCAGTGTATGCCTAAATGAGCTTTTTGGATAGGTGAGAAAAGGCTCCTCATTTACCAATATGTCAAAGTTTCTATTAAGAATTTATTCCCATGTATATGATGAACAAGTAGGGGAGG